GGCAGGCTTTGTACTTTGTCTGAATCATCTTTATTGCTTTTTTCATTCTGTAATCGAGACAAGCTAAGATAAGTAATACTAAATACATAGTAATTAATAGGGGTGTTTGCTTGGATGCAAGGTTGCTACAAAATTCCTGAGTCTTAGAGTTTAAAGATTCCTCCTGCATCAGATACGGACAATTGCAAAGGTGAAAGATTATGATAAACCTTCAAGTCCCTATATCTATTTTTTCAATAGAGCCCAAGACTCATTTAACAATTTACACATTACTAAAAAAAAATGCTTTTAACACCACAACCATATCACTGAAAAGGTTTCCTATTGCTTCAGAGAAAAGTATTACCATAAGATAATCTTAACAGCACAACCGTATCGCTGACATATTGTAATAGAAGAGAGCAGTGTAAAATCCCAAAATCACACAGTTTGGCACTTGGACAACCAGTCAGAGAGGCTTTCTGCCACACACAACAAGCCTCAATTTCTGTATATATATATAACAAAAGTAATTTTTACTTCAATGAATCAAATCAGGTCACAAATCTAAAAAGAATAGTCAAACCAGGACTAACAGACACTTGTCCAAGATAATCACCTGTACAAATGACCACTTCTGACTTCTTCCTTCGCGTTTTTTCTGTATTTATGATGAAACTGTCTTAGTCTTAGTCTTAGACGTCCAGCTGTCCACTACTTTTTCCCTCTACAATAGGTGGCCTTCTTGGACAATTTCGACTGTTGTATCTTTCAGGGATGTCGTTTTTCCGTAATTAACTCACAGAGAGATCACATTGGTATAGTCATTAAAACTGTGGAAAACAGGTGAACTTTATGAAAAGAAAGAACAAAAAGTAATATCTCATTACATGAACACTCTACTATGCCAAATTTGAACACATGCAACTCGGATTTACAGACACCTCAATGGGAGACAACCATTCCAGAGTTTTCTCTCTATAATCTTTAAACTTAATTTATTATTATTAAACTGTCCAAAAAAAAAAAACGCGGGAAAGTTTTCAGCTAGGGACTACTTTGTTAGTTTGACAAGGATGATAGCCTCAACTCAACTTCTTTTCTTCAACTAACCTAATTGCTTGCATGAAGGACGCATTAGTTCTCAGACTTATTTAGAGGAAATTGGGTGCACAATTCAACCAACCCAAGGACAAAGGGTGAGTTGGGCAGATTATATGATTACAATTTTGTTTCTGGACTTTCTCAAAAGTGGTGTGAGAAAATCCAAAAACAAAATTAAAAAAAAATAATGTTTCTGGAATTTCTCACACTCTTTGTGAGAAATTCAGGAAACAGAATTGTAAATATCTAAAAATAATATAATCTACCCGACACAATTTCTCAAACAAGAAATCGAACTAGGAGCATTAGATGGCAGGGTTTGCATTTTATCTCCCCACAACAAGTTCAGGAGTATTTGTGTGGACATCCACTTAAGCAGGAAAAGAGGGGGAAAAAACCCATTCTAAAATATAACTTTATGAATGAAGAAGTTCTTATTAAAAGCTTGAGCTTCATTAAGACTAGCTGTCAAGATGGGTACTCCTTCAAGATGTGATATATTTTGTTGAACAAAATCTTTGTTCATGTACATGTATATAATATATACATGTACATGAACAAAGATTTTGTTCTACAAAAACGGTCACACTGTGTTTGGAATATTTCGAAAAAAGCTAATTGGTGGCATCTGCACATTACTTTGCATAGTACATTGCTTCGAGAGAGAGACGTAATAATTGCATACAAAGACAAGAAAAAACATTTTTGTAATTGTAAGACAGCCTCAATACTCTATTTGAGAAAAGAAAAAAAACAACCCATTTTGTTCATCGTAGCGGGAGACACCTATGTTATTACATGTACAAGGTATATGACACTTTTATTACATAATTACAGTGAACAACCTTGAAGTGTGCAATGTTTAAAGAGCACATCAGAAACATATAACAATCTGAAGACATTTTCTGTTGTAAAAAAATGCCCTTATCTCTAGTAAAAACATTAAGGCACAGGTTAATGTTGAACTAGACTGAACTAGTTCTATTAAAAAACACCCCATGTCTCAGCCCATTCATCAACACTACAGGGAGTGCGCTGTTTTTTTCCAAAGTTCAAAACAACACTAAAAACAGACAAAACCCCCCCCCCAAACAAAACAGCATTAAAATTAAGTGTGGAGCTCATGATGTAAAAAAAAAAGTCAGAGGAGAGGGTGGGAGTGTTGTATAGGGGGGCTGGTGGTGGGTGGTGGGTGAGTACATAAAGGCTTATGGGACACATGGGAAATATCATATGGTATTCACAAAAAAACGTAAAAGAACAATTGATTAGTATCGTTGAAAAAAGAACAACAGCATTCACACATTTGATTAAGACACACTAGTACAACTGAAGTCACATTGCTACACAACCTTTTGTCAAACTCTAAACCTACTAGAAAATCCTGGGTAAACACACATATAGTAGATGGATAAGAGCCAAAAAGATCAATGGCAACGACGGCATCTTTCTGCAGATGTTGACGGCAAGGTCAACGTAATGTAGTCCCTCTTCCATTTCCTACTTTCCCTATATATAACACAGCACACTTCATATTCATATACAAAGGTCACAGACCATAGCTAGGCAGAAATCAGTGATAAAAAAAAAATCATAAATTTGCACAGCTTTCAGCTCACACTTTTCAGCAGCCAAATACAAGAGAGTCTGCTTAAACCAAAATCTGCTGAATTTCCAGATCTTCTTTGGTATAGCCGATTTATAAGCTTAGAGAAGTTCTTCAAATATGAGAAGGAAAAAAAAAGAAAGTAATCAGGAATTTCATTATCTTTAAATTTACTGCTGTTTTCGAATTAACCGCCTTCGGTTTTAAAAGACTCCATGTTAAAAAAGCAGTTTATCAGAAACAAAATATTCTTTTTCCAGGATTCATCCGAAATGTGAGAAGCCTTCACGGCCCACCCTGTATAGGAAAGAAGACATCATACGTTACACAACAAACAAAAACAGGCACCACAAAGCTAAAGATCAAATGCAACCTGTGTCGAACCATACTGGTAGACAAAAATGGGAAACAATGAACTAAGAAAGAGAAATAGAATTATATACATAATAAATTTTGAAATAAAACAATGAGTATAAATAATAGTCTTTCTGGCATCAGAATTTTCCCCTTTTTCAGGCGGTTTTCAATGCCAAAGCCTCACTACTGCCGGCAAGCCATACAGAATAGTCGTGATTACTGAAATATTCTTTTTGCAAACAAACACACAGGCAGCAGCAGCTCATACTCTCTTCAGGGGAATGTTCGGACTCTGAAAAATTTGCTTGGAAACATTTTCGGTGCGGGTCCACCTGACGTTCTACTGTGAACATAACAATAATAATAATAAATACTAAAATAGCATTTGTATAGCGCATATCCCCGCTCAACAGCAGGCTCTATGCGCTTTACACTATATTATTACCCCAGCAGACCATAGAACATTCAGAAACATTCTCAGCTTCCCGGGAAGCATACAGTGCAAGCAGCTGATTAAGCGTTCAAACACTAACAAACTGACAAGATCTTTCGCTGTCTGTAGCCGGGTACCCATTCCCACCTGGGTGAAGTGAGGAAAATTCGTGTAAAGTGCCTTTCCCAAGAACACAACGTCGGGTCCCTTACGGGATTCGAACCCATGACCTTACGGTTGCGAGTCCAAGAGCCTAACCACTAGGCCACCGACGCCACTTATCTACCATAAGACCCGCATGGCTAACCACGGTCTACCATGATAATGCATTCACTTGCAAGGCCTGCTCAGAGTTTTATTCTACCACTCCCACAACCTGATGCAATATTTTCAAGAAATAAAGGGAGGTGGGGCTGTCATCTTCCCCCCCCCCAGAAACAAATTACAACCACAAAAAACACATCTAATGCAACCAATGACAGTCCAAAGCCTGCATGAATGCAGAGGGAAAATGTTTATTAGTGTGCATTGAGATAGACCGGTAGACTGTCAAATGGATCAATTGTCAGACTGGTCTAGTTGTAGACTGTTGAGTAGAGAAGACACATGGCAGTAGACCGTCAAGTGGACCGGCACCACATTTTCTTATTCATCAACAGAAACATTGGCTCTCTCTCACTTAAAGAAGAAAGGAGAAAAGTCATACGACAAACTACTGTTATTTGAATAGCAATAGATTATATATACTGGCGTGATGTTGTACTTTACCTTCGCCTTTCAGAGATGCTATGTATCATTAATGTCCGAAGAGCCCATACTATTCATAAAGTAAAGGCAATCAAGAATCCGTCGGTGATCAAATATATTCACAGACTCAGTAGTTAAAAATAGCACCATCTTTTTGAAATCCTTGGCCCACAGTGTGCATTGATTTGGTCACACAGAGGTCTGTTAGAGAAGATTTTACGCAAAACTACGAGTATGAGACCAAATAGGAGGTTTTCGGATTTACAAAACAAAATGAAAGTCCAAGCTATCCAGCCAAAGGAAAAAACAAAACAATTAAAAAACTGGACAGTAAGTGATGGGAGAGAACCCCCCCCCCCAGCAAAATACACAAAAACAATATGCTCCCAGCTGACTCTAATATTAGTAATATATGTGTCCATACATTCTATTAAGAGCTAAAAAGGAAAAAAACAAAACATAAACTCATAAATGATGAAAGTGATAACATTACGGTTGAAATGTACACACATACTTTTGTGAAGGCATTAATTAATACAGGGCTTTTGATTCTGAAATCCACGTTTGAACATTCTCATGTTATTCAAATATAGCGACATAACCGAAGTAGAAAGTTAACAATATACAAGTTTCAACAATTTGTGATAAGTGTATCAATTTCCTTGGTAACAGGTGCAATCAGGTATAGAACTGTATGTGAGGCATCCTGGTGAAAGCAAGCACTCGTCAAAATACTGAAATTGAAGAAATAAGCATTTTTCTGCCAGTTTGGAATTTTTTTTTCGAATTTATGTTTTTCACTCAATACCTTTTATGTTCACTAAATAACACGTTTATGTGTGGAATTCACTGAAAAATGCAGATAAAGGCACAAAATTGCATATTTTCAGTTTCCAAGGACTCTCAAACCTTGGAAGTCACCAAACTTGAGTGGTCATTTTCTTGATAATTTAACCTCTGAAACCAGGTGATCCCTACCTCCTTCAACTGCAAAAATATCTTGACTTCTATTCAAGATAGCGGAATTTTTTTTCATTCAACGCAAGACAAATGAACAGACTTTAAGGTGATACCAATAACTTCACATGCCCAAAAATTGATAAGTGTCTGATTCCACCGCGCCGTGAGACATATATTATAAATATAACTCATACCTTCTTCTTTCTTATGCCTCCCAGCATGAGGCAAACGGAGAGACACGGAAGCACAGCGCGAGTACAACTAAAGACAACAGTGCAGGATAAATGTAACATGCAAAAATAGCTTAGGACGCCCATAGCGAAAAATACACATAGCAAACAAATTTTCAGGTCCAAATTTGTTCTTATGCTACATGTATTTCTTTGTATTTAAAACACATACACAGTGTTCACTTGTACATAACGAAAAGATTTTCACATCCTGCCAATTTCGTTATGTGCATGCTGTACCATAGCACACTTATCAATCTAATAAGTATTCACATTTTTAAAAAGTGGCGAAAGTAAAGTTTAAACCCCCTCCCCTCCCTCCCTCATGTCTTTGTACATCAAAACGATCACAGCATGTGGTTTCATTTTCCAGAGAGACATAACTTCGACCCCAGCGTGACCTCAGTGGCAACTCCAGAAGCTGCACACCAAGTCAAGCACTCCACCATGAGAGGGGAGGGAGGGGGCTATACTTTACATTTACCTCTAGAGAATAATGAGACAGTAATTTAAGGCTTGTAGCTGAAGGAAATCAGGGTTGTTGTTAGATTAGAAGTCAATCATGAAAATACATTCAGACCTGATCTCACAGCCACCTGTCCAAGCGACCATTTCTCATATTTTTTTCCCCTATATTTCATCACAAAGACACTGTTTAAGACGTCCACCTGTCTAAGATAACCATTTTTCTCCTTGACAGTGTGTGGCCATTTTGGACAATTTCCACTGTACTTTGGCTAATAAGTAGGAAAGTAAAATAGCCACATAACTTCCTTGATAAAGCAGAGGAACATCAACATACATCAACAACTTAAAAAAAACAACAAGCAACCAAAAAACGGCCACTGATACCAATCAAAGTTTGTTCTAGATCATTGTTAAGCCACTCTCAACACAATTCAACGGATAATCCAGTAAAAGAGAACTACATTTCAAGACATCAAAAACATCTGTATTTTGTCACTAATATAATTTTTGTTTCGAAACCACATTTAGAGGACAATATGAAATAAAACTGTTTTTTGAACGAAGTGAAAAGAAAACATGTTGTACAAAATTAACTTCCAAATACTTGAAACATTAAAATAATGTTAACGATAACTAAAAACTAATCCCATTTTAACAGAGCAGGAGAAGCTGTACGGGGTAAAAAAACAAAAACAAAAACTGAGCAGGACAGTCATGAGAGGGGAGGGAGGGGCTATACTAATATAATTTTGATACCGGATTTCAAGTGTGATGTGACTGAGAAGAATAAGAAAAAGAAGACTTATAACTGTCCCCAAGCTTAACTTCAGCTTCACCTTTTCTACTGCCACAAAGAATCGTTTAAGCGACAGAGAGAGTGACATATTCAAGCTGCAATACACTGACCTTTAGTTTGTTCTCGGGGGTCCTAATAGACTACACAAAACAAAACAAAATAAGAGGCACAACCAGGAATACAACGAAGCAACACAAAACCAGGAAGTTTTCATGCAATGTGTAGTGTAGTCTGTTTTCAAAGTCTTTTCAACATCGTGACACTGACCAAGACGTCTACCAGTATAACACAACCAGTTTTCTCCTTAACAATGGATGGACCTCTTGAACAATTTTGATCCTACTATGTCTGAGGTTACATAAAAGACAGATATTTTCCGTAATCAATTAGACAAAAAAAAAAAAGCATTTCTTCTCAAACTAGACAAACCTGCCGAGTCAAAGAGTAGGTATAAGATTTTGCATCACACATAAGGATAACACACAGCAGCACAAGATGTCACAACTCTGGGGTAAAAACAGTGGCATTCAGCTGAAGAAAAAAACAAATATAAAAAAGCCAAACTGAAAACATCACACAGCAAATCTTCTGCAGCTGATCAATACAAAAATGTCATATTTGAACTGATACAGCAAAATATTCTGAACAGTTTAATGCATAATCCCCCTCCCTCCCCAACACCAATGAAATCACAATGAAAGTGGGAAATCTAGCACATACACAAAAGATATAAATGCCTTTCAGTAGAAAAACAAAGCGAGGGAGGGCACTCAAATACAGCCAAAGCTATCCACAAAACATCTTTGAAAGGAAACGAACTGACCATTTTTTCCTCCCATCACAACACCAACAGGTCACTGTAATGCTTTCACGGATGAATTCTCCGAAATAGGGAATAGGCATTGTGATGATAATTCTATCCATTCATGATTCATGGTACCAAACTTTGAGAAGCAGGAGGAGGAGAAGAAGAAGAAGAGTAAGAAGAAGAAGAAGAAGAAGAAGAAGAAGAAAGAAAAAGAAGAAGAAGAAGAAGAACCTAACCTGACACAAATTGCACATTTCTTCCACACACTCGGGGATATCACAACACACCAAACGTCAAAACCAAGAACACTAAGAGTTCAGCCTAGACCTTACTTCGTCTCTCTCTCAACGAACTGTCACTTCAGCTTCGTCAAAACTATACTATATCTGTAACAAGATCAGCTGTTTTAGTTTTAGTAAGAGTTTTTTACTGCACTTGCAACACAAATACGTTATAATAAGATATTAGAGGTGTGTTTAGAGAATCAGACAAAGAAGAGAAGCAGGGGAGAAAATGATGATAGATAGATGGTTGAAAGGACAAACGGAAAAAGCAGACCATTCTAGAGCATTCGCCAACCACCCATCTGACAAGACCATGCTTCAAAGCTTTTACAGGCAAAGTCTACTGCAGAGTTTTGTTTTGATTAAGTAAAGAGAAGCACATAAAAATAATAACGGTCATTTAGTGTGGGGAAATAAGACAAAAACAACCTAGGGAAAGCAAAGAAGTACAACCTACTGTTAGTGCCTTCCAAGCCACCCACCCACAACATAAAGCTTACTAAAAAGGAGCACCACACAACCTGCTTACTACAAGCTAAGTGTATGTGACTAAAGAGAGTGGGTGGTTGGCGGGTGCTCTGGCGTGATTTGCTTCTTCCTTTCCATCAAACATCTATTGCCCTTATCAGTCCTCTTTCTTTTCTATGGTATTTTACTCTATTCTTCGGCACATATACAATTTATTTGTATTACAAGAGCTAAAAGAAACTTTTTACTAAAAGTAACCTACGCTGGATCTACTAAAGAAGACTATAACATTTACATGCAAGCTAAACGTATCTGACCAGAGGGTCACCTCACGTAACTTCTTCTACGTTTTTTGATTGTCAATCACCATACTACACTACTCAAAAACCATAGCAGCACACTTGTATCAACAGAAGAAAAGCAAAACCTCAGTATCCGTTTGAACACAAACTGGGCCGATATACATCGTATCTCAGCCTTTTAAAAAAATGTTGTCGCAAGTCCTAATTTGGAGTTGATATTTGTAAGATTTGTAAAAATGTGCCAACATGGTAGAAATTGTTATGCTTCAAGAAATTAAAAAAGGAAATTTTTCTGTCTGTGATGATGATCATCATCATCCTCATCTCAGCCATTTATTTATAGCTGCTTAAAGCCACTACACAAAATACCATCACGGTAAAGACATCCTTTTTCTGTGAACACGAATGCTGTCTAGGTATTCTAAAACCGTGTTGCTTTTGAATTTTCATTAAAATCCAGTTTTAATTAAAGCTGTCAACTTTTCCAAACTATTCAGAACAGACCTTTACCACACGGCAGATCAAGTTGGTGGGCATAACCCCCCGTTTTCAAACCCTCCACACACACTTTTCTGCAGTCAGTAAATTCCAGCTATCAAAAGAAGACCTGCAGGAAAAGATCTCTCTAATTCACATGTGAAACTTCATTCTCATACTCTTTACAAAATCCGATCTTAAAAGTTCATAATTTTTCTTCAGCATCTGCAAGTCTGTGAGAAGCAATACCAGAAAACAGATGTATTTTCCCAACACAAAAATGGACTTCTGCGATGACACCTTCAAACACATATCAAATACTGGTGGGCAACTAAACAGTCCTACTTGAACTCAAGGGAGTTAAAACTTTCGTCACAAAGCCTTTCAAACCTGTCTAAATATGACCTACCTGTAAAAACTATTCCATAGTTTAACTAATGTTTTGTAACTAGCTGTAAATATTTTAAGCCCCAACTGACACAATCTAAATCCTTGCTTTGGCACCGAATAAAAGTCAAGACTAAAAAAAACAACAAAAACAACCAGCATAAAGTTGTGATTAATCAAAATATCCGACATTTGCTTTGATCTCAGTTCAGGAATAGCCAGAAAAATTTTTCTCAAAAGAAAACTACAATAAAAAAAACAACAACCCTCCTACAATTTTAACAGGCCAATGTTACAACAAAACAATTCTAATGCATGAAGCAACAATACTAAGGCACTTCTCTCCTGCGGTCAATAAACAACAAGCTGTCTTGTAGCTGTCTTCTTCCAATCAATCAACAAACTACTGTAGGTGTCAAGGGGAGCTGCGTTATAATTCCTCAAAGAAGGCAACTCGGGCTTTTGCAGAATTTGCTGTAACCTGAGGAGACAGCAAAGGTTGTGAAAGAAAGAAAACACCAATTAATATTACAATTAAAAGTTGTGATAGAAAGAAAGTATAGATTGATGCTACAGTAAAAGTTGTGAGAGGAAGAAAGTATAGATGAATGCTACAGTAAACATGGTAGAAAAAAGAAAGTATACTCTAGTGCTAAAAATAGTCGAGAAAGAAAGAAAGTATACATTAATGCCAAAGTAAAGGTTGTGAAAGAAAGAAAGTACTGAATAGTGCTACAATAAAATGTGGAGAAAAAAAGAAAGTGTAGATAGGAACCAGAAACTAAATTTTCAAAGTTGATCTGAATACTTTATCGATTCCATATGACAGACATATGTCTGCTGAGAATTTTGGTACCGCTCTCGCCAATTTTAAAGAAAATAGCAGCTGTTTTAATGGAATAAAATATTTCAAAATCGGGAAACTGGCTGTAACACCATGTTTGACAGATAATAAACAGTACCAAGTGCACTAAACATCTACACATTAACACTGTACAACAACTTTAACAGAAATATGGAGCCTAAATTTTTCTAAGACTGTGAGATTATTGCGATCAGTATTTCATTGCCTAAAACATGATGATTTCGGCAAAAACATCAAGCCCTGTCCCGGCTGGCACCCACCTCGAGCAGTACAGCTCTTTACTGTAGTGTACTAAGTGCTCCCCGTGTTGGATGTCATATATTTTTGGAGTTTTTCAGAAGGATTGATGCATAATAAGTCAACGCTGATGATTCTACTCTAGTAAAAATTTAACTGATCTAGGGATCAATGCAAAATAATCCCAAGCTGATGACTAAAATCTAACATAAAATGAACAGAACTTTCTTTTCGTGCCGTCTTTGAGCCAGTATTTTACCAATTTTGAATTTAAAAAATGATCTTTAAAAACTTTGATGCAGTCCAGAGAAATGTGTAATCAGAGAATAATTTAAGAAACAGGTAACAGAGAGCAGACAAGCTTACTTTTCGGAGTGTGGCATACTTGGAGTCGCCTCTCTGCATGCTCTCGTCATGCAGTCTATCCAAGGTGCTGGAGCGGTCCTCAACTTTGAGCACTTGGATCTCAGACTTGAGGTCCTTCAGTTGGTCTTGGAGGGTTTTGCTCTTGGATAAATATTCTCGTCTGAAAGTAAAAGAACAAAAAGCAATGCTTAAGAAAACTAGTCCCGTCAATCACTGGGGTATTTTTGTTTCCGCTTGTTTGTTTTAGAAGAGGTACTAGCACTTGCAACACAATTAGGTGTTGGAGATAAGAGGTTTTACGAGAGAGTAACAAACAAACACAAAAGAAATGGAGAGATATGGGCAACGGATGTATGATAGGAAAAAAGGACCAAGCCGCACAAGGCTAACTACTCACACATTTTCGTAAGAGTAAAGAGAAGGACATTGGCAGTCACAATAACAGTTATTTAGATTAGTTTTAGTAAGAGTTTTACAGTACTCGCAATGTAAAAGGGTCATGTAAATGCCAATGATTAGAAGTGTTACTAGGTAGTTACATACACACCATTTGGTGCAGGGGCAAAAGTTACGCAGATAGAAACAACAGCAGAAAAAACAAAATGTAGAATATCTTATTAGCACTCCACAACCATCTGTCTGAGATATCTTACTAAAAGTGTAAAAATTCAGTATATGTGAACTGTATTGATTGTTACTGTTCTACTGTACGGTCCAGAGACATGGAGGCTCACAGCATCAGCAGCAAGGAAACAGCAGAGTTTCGTAAATGGATGCCTATGAAGAATAGTGGGGATCAAGTGGTACGATCGAGTCACTAATGCTTAACTGTGGGAAAGAACAAGCCAAAGGCCAGTAAAGGAAGACATACAGGTGAAGAAATGGAAATGGATTGGACACACCCTGAGGAGACCCCCGACAAGCATCATCAGGCAGGCTTTAACTTGGAACCCACAAGGAAAACTTAAGAAGGGAAGACCAAAGATGACATGGAGGCGAGCGGTACAAGCGGAAATTGAAAAAGCAGGGACAGCATGGAAACAGATAGAAAAGGATGTTCAGGACAGGCTTCGCTGGAGTAATGCTGTAGATGGCCTGTGCTCCACTGGGAGTTAAAAAGGGCAAGAGAGTATTGATTGCTGTTATCGATCCAGGAACTGTATTGATTGCTGTTATGGATCCAGGAACTGTGTTGATGAACTTGTATACTTGGTATTGTATGGGATTCAGCGTTATATATAAATGCAACCTATTATTATTCTATGGGATAAAGCATTATATATGAGGCAGCGTGGTGCACTCAGGCGTTCGTCAAAATAATGTAATTAAGGATACCAGCATTTTTCTGATAATTGGACAATTTTTTTTCCTAATGTTTTTTTGGGGGGCTCAACACCTAAGTCTATTTAAGAACACATTTTTGAGAGAATTTTTTCTGAAAAATGATTAAAGTTTTAAAAAATATGTAAATTTGCAGTTTTCAAGGACACTCAAGCTTCGAAAGTCACCAAATTATGGCGGCCATCGTCAAGCTCATTTTATCTCTGACACCAGGCAACCCCCAACTTCCGACTTCTATCCAAAATTGATGGGTACTTTTTTCACCAAATGCAAGACAAATGAACAAGCTTTAAGAGGATACTAATGATTCCATATGCCAAAAACCCAAAAATTGACGAGCGCCTGATTCCTCTGCGTCGTGACACATATAAATGCAATCTATTATTATTGTATGGGATAGATTGCTATATAAATGCAATCTATTGTTATTGTTAGAAACAGAGCTCTATGAAAATGCAATTTATTATCATTGAATGGATAGAGCGTTTCATAAATGCAATCTTTTATTATTGTATAGTTGAGCGCAAAATAAATGCAGTCTATTATTATTGTATGGGATAGAGCGTTATATAAATGCAATCTATAATCATTATTACTCCTGCTTACCTTTCTTTCTCCATCTCCAGAGACAGCTGATCCAGATTGCCAGAGAAAATGTCCCCATCCGGGAGGGGCGCGCCACTCTCGACGTACTGTAGGGTGGGCGACAAGTCTGATGCGAGGACGGGGTAAGATGGGATGGACTGAAAGAAAAAGAATATGGATAATACGATTCGTTTATTGTACAAGAAAAAAAAAAGAAAATATCTTAACAAAAATCAGAACATCTGCCCCCCACCCCCCCCAAAACCTAAAAGAACTAAAGAAAGTGTATTCTATGGCTAAACTCTTTGACTCTTTGTATTATTAGGTAGGCTATTCCACATTAACTTGCATGAAGCTAATTTCGTTTTCTAACTTTTCCGCCTACCTGTCCATTACAAATTTCTCAATAACTTATAACTGCTCTGCTATTCAAGTTGAAAGCTTGTCAGTCAGTCAGACTGCTCAATTCTCAACTTTGATTATTTGCAGAGTAGTCCACTTCGACATGATCTCTGCTGGACTGTCGTACCCTTCTCAGCCCGGGTAGGCCCTGACAGACAAGGTTGCTCACTCGCCATCTAAATGTGAGGCATGCTGACAAAATGAGTTACTTCTAGCGATCCAAGAATGGAGATATTGGCAGAAAATTGATACTGAGGTCAGATTTATAGATTTTCAATCGATGCCATTTTCTACCTTGTCTTTTGTTATTCCATACTTACAAACTGTACAACCTCCACCTATAAAGTTGATGTATTAATTACTATACTTTTAAAATCCAAGAAGTAATACACCTTGTCAGCACACTTCACAAATAACCTAAATAGTGTCAATAAGGGCTACATGATTTCTGCTGGGACGATGTACCCCTTTTAGCCCGGATGACCTTGACAGACAGGGTTGGAAGTTGGCCTCATAAATAATCTAAATTGTGTTGATGACGACACCTGCAGTGAAAAATTCTTACTGTGGAGTAGTCTGTGTGGGACATGGTCTGTGTAAGTTCGAGGAGCTTTCCCTTGGCTGCCTTCTCTGAGAGCTTGGCCTTCATCAGTTCATCTTTCAGTTGTTCTGCTTCTTTGGCCCTGCAGAAAGAGAGAAAATGTCAGCATACTCTGCAACAGGCAAGGACAAACTATGCTCAAGCAGCTTCAGTCCAGCCTGCCATTTGACCCAAAAATTAATAAAGAATGTGGCGCGCCGTGAGTTGATAATTAATCTTTCAAAAACCCAAACAATTTTCTTCTTGATATTTAAAATCAATAGTTTCCAGCCCACACAGAAGCAATAAATCTAACTATTCTATCTCATGAAATGCTCTTGAGAGATTCTAAACAGTCAGTTTTAGTCCCACATTTGCGAAACTGGATATTTCAACAGTCTTCACTCAATTTTCTCCTGCCTTGGCCTGCAAGATACCCAGAATCGCTTAATCCAACCAGTGACTTGAATGCACTTTCCTATGCCTGCTCTACACCATGCCTGGGATTACACATCACAAATCTCTGTTGATAATCACAGGGCAGCCCACCCACCAGCATAAAACAGACCTGCCACCCTATGAAATCTAAAAATCAGGATCTCAGGGGAAAAAAAAATCGGGATTTGGTGAAAAAAATCGGGATCAACGACAAATCATCAAGGTGATTAAAAAATTTCCCAGGGTTTTCTATAAATTCATGTTTTTATATGCATACCCCTGTGTGTGTGTGTGCGCGCGCGTTATCATTAATCTTTTAAATCCTGAAGAATCACATCAAGCACTCTTTGTCCAAGTGTCTAATCCCCCCCCCCCCCCCCCCCCCCGGCATAAATCCCGAAAGACGGTTCAATCAGTGTGCATAAGAACTTAAGTTGACCTCGTCAACCGACTGTCCCCAACTCACACGAACTCGCAAGCCGGAGTCATGTCACGGGATACGAATCGAACAAACAGTTTTCCAGACGGGTCTTGATGACGGGCCCAACGGACTAGAATTCGGACAAAACTTGGGCTGTGAACACTAATAAAAGCGCTAAAATGTCGTTTTTATAATATTACCTACTTTTTTGAGTACTTATATGAAGGAAAAGCGTAAAAACTCAAAAGACTTAATTTTCTTACACAATCAAAACCTAGTATTTAAAAAAATTATCTCCAATATATAAGCAGCTAGTCCATACAAAGCAGACAAACTTACCGGTTTTCTGAGTCTTCCAAGATGGCTGCTGCCAAAATCTCAGCATCATGAGCCCTTTGCTCCATGTGCATTCGCTCTTCTTCCGTCTGTCGAAGAGAACAGGGTCCACAAACATGAGTCAAGAGAAACACATTAACACAACACCTATCATTTAGAGCAAGGGAAAAATCAAAGAGAACAGTCCATAAACATAAGTCAAGAGAAGCACATAAAAATATCGGAGTGAGAAAGTAAGTGTATGATTTTACTGTTCTTTCAACAGTTAGATTGAGTAAAAGGAGGGACCTCCAAATTCAACATCCATCTCCAACAAGACTGAGCCAAATGGGCTGACAGACTTGAAAAGGCTGCAAAATGACCTGAGTTCAACAATGCCCAGTCGGGGATTTGGAATACAGTTGCCCAGTTTGTACTCCTGCATGATACCAACTGAACTAACGGAGAGCCCAAAAAGTAAGGTAGACAGACGGAAACAACTGAGGGGACAGAAAAAAAAGAAGCAACTAGTCGTGCCCTCCAGCCAGCATTGAGTTCATAAAGATTTACAATGACCAGTCACATTGACACAAACGACTTCTCAGTTTGGTTTGGAGAAAAGAGCAGCACACAGATACAGTAATAGCCATTTATTGGGGGTAAAAAGAGAGAAAAACACACACGGGAAAAAAATCAGAGGGAAAGGAAAGAAAAGAAACAGAACCCATAAAAGGCATCCTATAACCACCTGCTCAATGACTAATCAACAATTCTACCAAATGTTAATTTTGAGTAGAAATATAACATTTCACAAGGGCATAGAAAAATCAGATGTTTAGCTAAATTTCTGGCGCTTGAATTCCTCTGCTTGCAGGGTATGCGTCTCGGGAAGCCGAGAGGGTTTCTGGGTCGTGTTCTAACGATTACATTAGAGAATGCTGCAGAGTGTGGTTATGAGTTACATAAATGCAATGATTGTTATTAGTATCAAAAGAATAGTATCAAAAGAATAAAATTATTCAAATATCTTTCCAAAGTCGAGAATGTTTCTGAGTTGTGTTCTAGGGTCTGTTAGGGTAATAATAGTCATAAAGTGCAAAGAGCATGCTGTGGAGAGTAGATATGCACCATACAAATGCAACTGTTATCAATATCATTACAACTTTTATTATAAAAAGATTCAAACTAGCACAACATCTTGATCAGAAATTGATGTACAGAAAAGTGGGAGACATGGAATAATATCAAGCCACTAGCTGAAGATAAAAAAAGGTGGAAAGTGTTTGTTCATGGCCTATATCCTGATCCAGGATGAGAAAGGCCATGATGATGACAATACCTTGATCAGAAATTGCAGAACAAAAAAGTAGGAAGACATGGAATAAGATCAAACGACTAGGCCAGGATAGGAAAAGATGGAAAGTGTTTGTTCGTGGCCTATACACCCTGATCCAGGGTGAAAAGGCAATGATGATGATGATGATGATGATGATGATGATGACATTACCTTGATGGCTGTCAGTTTGATTCTCTGCACCTCTGCCTCGGCTTCTGCGGCCTTCTGTGTGAGCAGACGGGCCTCCTCGTCCAGCACCGTCATCTTCTCGTGGAGCAACTCGGCCGTCTCCTCCGACCTAGCCTGTGGTCATCACACCAGCCGTGGGGGTGGGTCATGGGGTCATAGGGTCGTGGTGTGGGGGTTGGGGGTGGGGGAGGGGTACAGGTCATGAAAGGACAAAGACAGAGGATTGAGTGTATTTCTGTTTAAGTTATGAGTTTAGTGGGGGTTTTCTTAGTAAGAGTTACTGTACTTGCAACACAAATAGGTCATAATATAATTGATGTAAATGCCGAAGATCAGAAGGTGCCACTAGAAAGTAACGTACAAAGAAAAGAAGGAAGAGAGATATAAAGATGATGATAGACATTTGATAGGAAATAAGGAGCAAACTATACCACAGTGCCCAACAACCACACACAACCTTGTCTAACCCCTCGGGGTGGTGTTATTGACTGAAGTGTCTTTAGGCCATTCCCAAACTGGGGACATTAACCATGTTCTTATGCACAGTAGAATTGTAATTGCAATTGGGTTGATTCATCAGCATCATGCTCGTAACTGTGCCTGAACTGCAACAGTAAACTGCTGCTTTTTCTTTCCTAGTCCTTACTATCGTCATTTTTCCTCTACTTCTTTTGTATGTTTGGCACACTTTTGTGACCCGCTATTTCCGGGGTGCCTTGATAGTTGAAGCAGACTTTGTGCAGGTGAAGCTAGAGATGTGAGCAGAGCAAGCCTGATTCCCTGCAAGGACTTCTCTGTTGAAATCCACCCCTTGGCGCTCATATGACCTTATGCAGTTGCGAGCGCTGTAAAACTTCTACTAAAACTAAAACAACCTTGTCTGTGGTCACACCAGTCACAGGGTGTGGGTTGTGGGGTCATGGTATGTGTGCTTGTGGAAGATGGTAGGGGGTGAAGGCGGGCGCACAGGTCATGAGTTAAGGTCACTTAAGTCAATAAATGCATAGATACAATAATGGTTTTACAGTGTAAAGAAAGTGAAAGGCAGGCAGACAGTGGTTAGGCTCTCGGACTCGCAACCGTAAGGTCGTGGGTTCAAATCCCATTATGGGCCCAAAGTTGTGTCCCTGGGAAAGGCACTTTACATGAATTTTTCTCACTTCAACCAGGTGGGAATGGGTATCCAGCTATAGACAGTGAAAGATCTTGTCAGTTTCTTAGTGTTTGAGCGCTTAATCAACTGCATGCACCGTATGCTTCCAGGGAAGCTGAGAATGTTTCTGAGTGTTCTATGGTACGCTGGGGTAATAATATAATGTAAAGCGCATGGAGCTTGCTGTAGAGCGCGGATATGCGCAATACAAATGTTATTTATTATTAATTTTTAAAACCCCCAAAAACCCAGACTCTACCAGTAGCAACTTCCCCACCCATGGAAGTGGTTGAACAGTTTTGGGTTTAAAAGAAAAGCCAAGACTCAAATAATAACAACCATACAGCAAGAGAAACAGAGGTGAAACTTGAAGGAAATTTGATGGGTTCATAGTCTTCCCTGGAAAGGGTGACTGGGTTCATTTCAACGACCAATGGATACACTGAGAAATAAGAGACAGATGACAAAGAAAAGTACAAAACAAAAACCAAAACAAATTCTTAATATTATTATTCCGTCTTCACTCCATTCAAAACTACAACTCTCCACATAATATACTTATACAAGTCCCACATTTCTCCTCTCCTTTCCACATCGATAAATATTTTACATCGTGGTGAAATCAGGTGATAATCAAAATAATGAAATTGAAGAAATCAACACTTTTCCGTCTGTTTGGCAATTTTTATGTACTTTTTAAAAATTTTGGGATCAACCCCTTTTATCATGTCTGCATTAAAAAAATAATTTGGCTGAGGATTTTATTTAAAAACGTTAAGCAAAGACAAAATACATGTAATTTGCAGTTTCCAAGGACTCTGCCGCTTTGGAATCACCAAACTTTGGCGGCCATTTCTCACTATTTTACATATAACTCCAGGCCAAATCCACAACCTTCAATCATAAATATATAAGTTCTGTTCATGATAGATGGGTATTTTTTTCAACCAAACCCAAGGCAAATGAATAGTTTTTAAATGATACAAGTAACTCCATTTACCCTAAAACCGACAAGCGCCTGATTCCATTGCGTTGCGACACAAGTAAGCTACTTCATGCTGACAATAAACTCCATGATAACTTACCAAGGCTTCCTGAGTTTGCCTGACTTCATCTTGCATTTGCAGGAATCTTCTTTCCATCTCTTCCTTCTCCCTCACTGCTTCTTCTCTCAGCTGTTTTTCCCTGGCCAGTCGAGACCGATCCATCTGTCGGTGTGAACAAAATACTTATAATATGACATGACTATAATTCTTCACTTGAAAAACTTTCATCTGAAGTAGTCAGGGGTAGCGAGCACTGACAACCTTCATAACAAAGTGACGCCCCGAAATAATCATGAGATCATCTCAAGGCGTGCTGAGCACCAGACTTCCCCAGGATAGACCAGATGTTCAGGATGAGTAGGAGATTTAACCGTCGCATACAACTTTGAATACCGACCTGCTCTTTTTCTTCTCGTACACCTGCTGGTTCTCAGGTAGTAACTGACTGTAAGTTCTTCCTCCCACAGAACAGTTAATTTTATGTACATGGACATTGTATCTACACAAAACTTAGAATCATCCCTTGCTTCACAGGCAGACACATGCTGATTTTGAAGGTGACACTCTTAATATTTAACCTAAAAAGAGTGGCCCCAGATTTTGAGTTGGAATTAATTTAGAATTTTGCGAGGAAAAGGCAGCCCGCAGTGCGTACTCTTTTCAACTTTAGAATTCCAAAAGAATCTTTAACGAGAGAAACTTTCACCAAACCTCCAAGGGATCTTTAATGAGTGAAACTTCAAACGAGACCGTCAAAATTATAGGTCTTCATCTAAGAAGACTAGGTCCTCCATCCTCCCTATCCTATGCTCAGGGGGTACAGAAAACAGGAGGAAAAACCCAATACTGGTGAGGATCAACCTCCAGTCTTGTGGGTTGTAAAGTGAACATCATAGTCGTTAGAGTATGTCTCTTTATGCGCGATGCACCATCGTGTCGCGCGCGGTCCTTGCCGGCCCAAAATCAATCAAATAAGATTATATAAAGAACCCGTCTCCTTACACGTGACGCGACGTCTAGCCACGCATGATCGCCACCTACGATCGGTCCATGTTGTGATCGAGACCTCGACGTGTGCCACAAACTGGGGGTGTGACAGGTTTAAAGCATCACCGTCGTCAAAATACCTAGTCAAGGAGTGCCGGTCGACATGGCGTGTATGTGGTGTGTGATGTGGCTGCGCATAAGAATACACACCTTGTGACTCGTAGCTAGCGACAGCCGAGAGCGATGCGACGTACTGTTGCGCATAAGAAGCCATAGGCTTAAGTTACTGAGCCCCCGGTACTCACCTGCTTCCTGGCCTTCTCCTCCATAGCTTTCTCCTTCATCTGCTGGATCTCCATGGAGTCGGGCCTACGGCGCCGCATGTACAGCTCATGGTTCCCCATACACAGCTCCAGGATCTGTCACGCGACAAAAATGAAATTGAACAGGTTTAGTTTCAGTAAGTCTTACGGCACTTTTAATAGTTAGGTCATACAAGTGCCGAAGATAAGAGGTGTTACGAGATAGTAACATACAAACAAAAGGAGGCGAGATATGGATGATAGATATTTGACAAGAAAAAAGCAGGCAAACCACAACCCGCCAACCACCCACAAACCTGCTCTAAATACCACCTGTACAAATGACCATTCTCCACTTTCACTTTTTCAATTTTTTACCACATTATAGTGACACTGACCAGAATGTTCACTTGTCTTTAAGACAACAACTTTTTTCCTTGACAACTGGTGGCCACCCTGGACAATATGTGAGGCAGTGTGGTGGAATCAGGCTCTCGTCAATTTTTGGGCATGTAGAGTTATCGGTATAATCTTAAAGGTTGTTCACTTGTGTTTATTTGGATGAAAAAAATATCCATTTATCTTGAATACAATTTGAGATATTTACGAAAGAAAGAGGTGGGGGTCACCTGTTTTCAGAGGTAAAATTAGTGAGAAAATGGCCGCCAAAGATTAGCTATTTCCTTAGCTTAAGAGTCCATTGTAACTGAAAATTTACATTTTTTGCGCCCTTAATCAATGTTTTTCATAAAAATTCACACAGAAATGAGTTCTTTAATGGGCATAAAAGGTGTTGAGGCAAAAATAAAAAATTTGATAAAAATTCAGAAACCTGCGAAAAAATGCAAGTTTGTTCACTTGGATTATTTTGACGAGAGCCTGATTCCACCACACTGCCTCACATATTTGTTTGAGTAAAGAGAAGCACATTGACACAATATGGGTCATTTAACGCTGGAAAAAAGGGAAGACGGACAAACAGATACAACAGGGGGAAAGTGAAGAAGTAGGACCTACCAATAACACCCTCCAACCACCCATATCTTGGACAATTTTGATTGAATCTCCGTTTCCATTCTTTCTTCCAGACCCAATATTCAGTTGACACTCGGCACTTCATAACACCAGGAAAAACTCCTACACATTTTTATAAAAGACCTTGAAAGGGTTTTTATTGATGAGTTTCTTTATCCTCAGAACCTAAATAATATATCAGTGAAAACTACATCTGACATAAACAGCTTATTCTAAAAATAGTAATCGTAGGTGTTTATGCTATTATAGGAGTCTATATGAATGGCTATAGGAGTCTATATGAATGGCATGATACAACGAACAAAACATTTTGACTTACCAGCTCGTTGATTCTTGGTTTTGGGGCATAGAACACAAAGTGGGGCTCCTTCTTGTTAACATTTTTGATCGTGAACTAAGCAAAGAGAAATAAAAGAAAAAAATGCTTGAAACCTCAGAGAGAAGATTGCTATACAGCAAATCTCAGATGCAAACAAATGCGAATGTCAATAAGATAAAATATTTTGGACTTATTCCATATCCCTCCCCCCCCCCATGTTTTTTAAAACAAAATTGAGCATATATATATTATACGGTCATAAGCTCCCACAAAAAAAAAAAGAAAGAAAACCTATGCCTGAAACAAGTTCCAAACCTTTGCACTGACAATATGTATAATAATATTTCTACCAGCCAGTTAACAGTACCATAAAAAGGGAAAAGAATAATTACAAAGATTGATCATTCATTGAAACTAACACAGCGTTGTTATAACACAAACATATCACTCTGATCAATGCTGGATCAGTGGACCACATTTCACAATGGAAAGTTAGATAAAATCATAATCCTCGAAAACAAGTAAAAATTTGCTTTAAAATTGAATAAAGAACACAATCTCAAGTATCATTCTCTTAACATTCTTGAAATAAACATAAAAAATTATCTAAGCTATACATCTGGTACAAATTCAAGTAAGAAACCATGCTCATTCAGGAACTTTAATAGAATTTATGTATCCATTACATGTTATTTTACAAACCATACCCTTTTATCGTTAAAGGAGATATTTTTAATCTCGCTCCAAGGGAAAGCAACTTTGGGCAAAAGTCTGTTGTCTCTGTCATAGACCCCGATGCCTCGTGCGTCCACGCCAATCCACAGGTCGGAATCTTTTTTGTTCTGAGAGAGAAAAAAACCACAAGTGACGATATGACTGTTTGTTTGAGTAATTACAAGTGCATTGACACAATATTGGTCATTCAGTTCAGGGAAAAACGTGAGTAAGACAGAAACAAAAGATGAAATGAACAGAAGTCGGACCTGCTGAGGGCAGCCGCCAATCACTCACTAGGAGAGACATAAACACAAGTGACAAATGAGTACATCAAAGACGACTGAAAAGAGCGAGCAAGTTCCGAGTTTGAGCAAAGCAAAGCACATCAACACAGTCACCGAATGTTCTTTAGGTTCTTTAAGTGTTGGGAAAATAAACGGACAGACAAACAGACAGAAACAACAAGAAACACCAGAAGGAAAGTGAAGAAGTAGGACATATCAGTCATCTTCATCCTTATTTCTTCTATTTTGCATTAAAAATATTTTCCTCTTCAGATGCACTAGTCACCGTCAGACATTGACAGACAATATATTATTATTATCATTATTATTATTGCAGTGGTGCAAACCAAGTAGAAGGGGCTCTGGTGTCCCAGAGGTTAAGGTGTTGGCCTCTCATTCAAAGGTCCCGGGTTCGAATCTGGGTAGTGACCGAAAAATTTTCTTCTCTAAAATAGTCTCCTTTCACCTCCTTTCCTGCTCTCTAGCAATGTTCTGTTGTCTGCTTTCGTCTCCACTTTCTGCCCCTACCTCCTCACCTCCTTTGCCCCCTCCTCTAGGCTCCTGACTCTTTCTGCAGCCTTTCTACAGCTAGCCTTCTTGGACAAGGGCAAAAAATCTCAGGGGCCTGAGTGCAAGTTGCGCATGTTTAAGATCCCTTGGTGGTCTAAAATCGATAAGAGTAGGCTTCGGCCGCCACCCGGGCCAAATTCAGAATTTCCTACCAACTGAAATAGTTTAATGTGCCCCCCGCGCTCAAATGACCTCATGCAGTGGCGAGTGCCGTAAAACACACACACACACAAACATTTGTTGACACAAGGGAGCTCCAGTACACGGGTCATAAAAACTTAGAAGAGAAGGGTAAAAAGAGGTTCAGATATTTCAGAAACACAATGGCATGGCATCCTTTCAACTAATAAATAACACTGACAACAAAGAAAAAAACCCAAACTTACTTTGATTTGAAAGTAATTCACACCATACATTTCAAGATCTTGAGCTATTTTCAAGTAGTCCATTTCAGCTTCATCACTGAGGATAGAGAAAATATAACATTTCTTTGAATAGATAGAAGGTCACGAGAACTGTTTATATGCATCACACTCTATGGGACACACCACTGGTGTTGCCATTCTACTTATTTCAAAACTGATACAATTGCAAACAAACTCTTAAATTTATTTACATATTTTAATGAAAATAAATAAATGAAAACTGACACAATCCATTTCCTGCACTAAATAATATATATATGAGCAAACAATGATCACCAATACCCTATGTAGGCAAACAGAATGATCACCTATACTCCATCTGAGGGAGTGGAATGATCACAACATCCTATGCTGAACAGAGTGATGACCAATACCCTATCGGAACAAACAGAGTGATGACCAATACCCCATCTGAACAAACAGAATGATGACCAATACCCCATCTGAACAAATAGAGTGATGACCAATACCCCTTCTGAGGGGGTAGAATGATCAACATCTTATCTGAACAAACAGAATGATTACAGATATGCCATCGGAGAGAGCGAAATGATCACTGATATCTATCCTCTAGTTGCAAATAATAACACATATGATCCCTGATTTATTCTCAATTTTTTTTTCTGGCAATATAACTATGATGGATCGATGTGAGTTCTTAAAGACAGAACCAGAGTAATGTGCACCACAATCCAGTAAGATACCCCCTTAGCACACTGAGCCCCACAGAGCCTTGATTGATTTCCAGTCACACGGATGAGTGTGTGTGTGTGTGTGTGTGTGTGTGTGTGTGTGTGTGTGTGTGTGTGTGTGTGTGTGTGTGTGCAAGCATCTGTACAATAAAGATTTATCTTATCTCTGATACAATAGTCAGCAATTGCCTACCTGGTCATGCCACGTCTCTCTGCGTACCAGAACTTGATTTTGTCTTCCCACATGGCAGGTGTCATCTGAAGAGTCGCATTGAGAACTAAAATAAACATTATAGACTCGTAATTCAATACAACCCCCCGCTTAGTCAAAAAAAAAAAAAAAAATAGCAAAGAAAACAAAATTAAATCACAAAACATTTTACCCCAGCATATGACAACAGTGGGGTGAAATAAAGGTTAACACCACATCATTAAAATTTAAATGAAGAGTAACCCGTCAGGAACGCAGGTTTAAAGGGTTCAATCTTACAAAACTTTAGTATCTTCACCTTCCCGACAAAAAACAAACAATCTTTTACATCAGCTGATATACCATCAATATCATGATCATATTTCGGGACAAGGCATATTGCTATCTTTCTTCAGCAGCATGAGTTACAGCTGCAGCAACAAATTGAAGTACTTTTCTTCAACCATAACAATGCCTAACGGGGATAAAAACAACAAAAAACAAAAAAAACAAAAACCCACACCAAAAAAATCCAACTTTTATATCTGTGAAAAATACAAGACTAGCCTGTCGTTGAGTGGCACTTCAATGTCTTATGCAGAAGATCAGAGTTTGATTCAGTGACGCTAATGATGAAATGTTAAAAAGGAGGGAAATCATCGGGAAGAAGCCTGTATGAATCGAGTGTGGAAACAGTGGCAAATGAATGAGAATCGAGAATAAGGAAAGCCACCCAAAACGAAAACAAAAAAATCAAAATATTGTCATTCACGATTTCAATATGGCACGCGAGATGACGATGATCGCTTCGCAGAATTAAGAATTCGCGCTTGTTGAATTACATTTTCGCATACATTGCGCCCTGACTTTCGTGATATTCAGGAGAACGCCAGATCGCGGAGAAATTTCCTCAGAAGGCTCAAAAACCTAGAATTCCTCGGATTCGAGGAAGATTAGCAGCACAGTTGATTCCACTGCAAGGACTTTTATCGAGTATCTCAGTAATTCTGCTGGGATGTTTCGTTTCCCTTTCAGCCTACGTTGACCCATAAAGGCAGGTCGAGTTTCCTAAACGATACAAGTTCTGTCAACCGGGCAGGAAACAACCTATAAGTTTATGCCCGAGTTGTGGTGTCTGTCCTGATGACTTAAGACGCGTATTATTTGAGTGCCTGAATGGAAACCTGTATCGTGAATTGCTGCTGCAAGACAATATCTGGCCCGGACCTGACGAGCTATGGACCAAATCCAAAGAGGTTGTCACATATCCAACTGCGTGAGACAGGCTTTCGTCCTCCTGTGAGTCTGAGTAAAGAGAAGCACATCGACACAATAGAATAAAGGTCATTTAGTGCTGGGAAAAAGTAAGATAGATAGACAGACAGTAACAACAGAGGGGAAGTAAAGAAGTAGGTCCTACCAGTGGCACCCTCCAAACACCTGCATTCTGCCCTCTTAGGAGAGAGGAGGCAAGCCATAGAAGAAGAGGAAAACACTTACATTGATCTTTTTAAAAAAAGTACAGTGAGCGCTATCCTTGGTTCCCACCCACCTGATACTGGTCTAACACTCGCTGGGGCAGGAGGTCATCGGATGCCAGCATGCCAGGCTGGTACGTCGACTCGTCGTAGTCCCCGTACTTGGCCTGAACAGCGAACGCGGCCAGGAGCACCGATGCTTCAGGAGGGCAGTAGATGTCCATGTTGAGAATGGACTGCTTCACCTGATGAGGAAAGTGACAAAACAACAGAGAACATGCATTATAGTCCATTCACTTTTTCAAAACCAACAGTTTTTTACAGTTAACTCAAAAACTGACAGTTTTATTGCCCTGCTTTTGTTTCGTTTTTTTGCTAGCAGTCTTACATTTTGACTGACTTTAAGATTTAATAAGCATGTTGAACAGTTCATTCAAAGCGACAAATTCCTTAAATCTTTTAGCTCCAAAGATTCCTGATCATCTTATAGGAATGAAGGCATTAAGACATTGACCCAATTTAAAAAAAAAATTTTTTTGGGGGGGAGGAGGGAGTAGTGGATAAAGAAAAGGTGTACAGCACGGAGAAAATATGAGTGCAAATGGTGAAATTGTCATTGCTGTTCAATACAGTGACCTTGGAAGTGTAAATTATTTTATATTGTGAACATTCCAGGAGGGTGGGGTTTTTTGTAGTTTTTTTCACAATAAACAGAGACTAAATCAGTGACAGCTGCTCTTTGATTTTGGCAGGTCTAAAAATATCCCTAACAGTCAATAGCATTTCATTTACAAACTTATGATCAAATTCCCAGTGCAATAAGTCAAGAGATAAGTGAGATATGACTGTGCAAACGAGGGCAAGTAAAAGTGAATGAACTATAATTGTTTTATTAAAATGATGTGAGCCTAGAAGACCCTTCCTCTAACCCAATAAGCCACCCCCCCACCCCCCACCCAAAAAGACCACTGCTTTAACCCTTAGAAGTGGCCTTCCCCCGCCTCCTTTCCAAGATGACAGACAAATGCATCATCTTCACTATCAATTATCGCAATGGAAAAGTAACTATGTTTTTTTTGGTTATAAACTACTTTTTTTTGTCTGCTCATTGGGTCTGGGTTCCAATCCACACCACATTAAAATCATTGCCACTTCTCAAACTGGAGAGAAGACATTGGAATAGGAGACTGATGTTAATTTTTTTAAAAACAACTGACATCCAATTCCCATCAACCGGAGAAGCCTGTCCCGTCCCCGCCCCCCTCCCCACGACTCATGAATGTGTCATCGCCAAATTAAGTGTGACCTATGAGGATGTACGCCCCAACCTGTAGAAAGAAGAGATGCTGCGTGATCTCCTGCACCAGCTCCCCCGAGACTTCCTCCGGGTAAAACTTGGCCAGGAACGTGAACTGTATCTGGGACTCTTTGGAGATGCCTTGGTCTAAGACCTGAGGGGGAGGGAGAATGGATGAGTTTTGAGTCTGAGAAGTGGTTTGGTACAAAGATTGTCTTTCAGTGCTGGAAAAGAGAAAGACATGCAGAGAGAGAGAGAGAGAGAGAGAGAGAGAGAGAGAGAGAGAGAGAGAGAGAGAGAGAGAGAGAGAGAGAGAGAGAGAGAGAGAGAGAGAGAGAGAGAGAGAGAGCGAGAGCAAGAGAGAGAGAGAGGGAAAAATATTGAGAGAGAGAGAGAGAGAGAGAGAGAGAGAGAGAGAGAGAGAGAGAGAGAGAGAGAGAGAGAGAGAGAGAGAGAGAGAGAGTCTGCGTGGTGGGTGTGTGTGCGTACATGTGCGTGAGTGGGAGTGGGAGTGGGAGTGTGTGTGTGTGTGTGTGTGTGTGTGTGTGTGTGTGTGTGTGTGTGTGTGTGTGAGTGTGTGTGTGTGCTGCTTGTGCATGTACGAATTTACCATGCTGTGGCAAATTTCTCTCCTTGAAAATAAATAAAATCTTATCTAACCTTACCATATGTGGCCCCCTGTGGTGAAACATGGCCACTGTCACAACGAATAGTCAATATTTTCATCCTAACAGTACACATACATTTCATCACTGTCAGAACACAACTGCTTAAGTGTCTGTCTCATCATGGAATCTTACTTACCTTATATCCAAAGCTAATACCATTTTGGGTGTCGCGGGAAAAACCCATAAAAAACACAAAAAAACCCCCAAAAAACCAATGCTTCCCTTTAAAGAAAATGTTACAACTTGAGCAAACTTGAAAAAGTTGTAACTAATTACACTTTTTGCACATAAATGCATAACCCTGCTCTATCATGCACTCTTCTTTAAAAGGAACGGAATTCCATGGACAACAACTGCCTTTATGACAAAGATGATTTGTTATCAACACTTCACTCATTACCTTCTTATCAAATTTCAACCACGCAACATAATCCTTTGAATCAACATACTGAAGACCAAAATACCAAGTCTCTCTCAGTCCAATAGTCCGGCCAACCATGTCAAACAACTCTTTGCCAGTGGTCTTAGGCTGGGAATACAAAAAGAAAAAAAAATGTTATCACCTTATGAAACCTCAATGAAACATGACATTGCTGACATCTTGTTCATCTTTCACGTCCAGTTTAAATCACAAAAAAGGCTAATGCATACAGTTTATTTTCAAAAAGTGCCTGCAAATATAATTTGTCTGGCAGCACAAGTAAACCTGTCAAAGGTGTCTTTGAGAATTGTATGATTAAAGTCAAGAAGGAATCATCTGGGACAAATTGGGGTTTGCTAGAAAATAAAACTGTCAGAACTTCTATATCATTTCCCATTGAAAACATCAGTGAGGTCAGCATATTAACATGTCTACTTCATGTTTTCTTGATCCTACCCCAAATGTTAACAAATGGCCACCTATGACCTAACACCATTTTTTTTCCCACTGTAAGTTTTCGCTACCCTACGTCATTGAAATGATCATAACTTTTGAATTGTTAGGTACTGCCATGAAATTAAGTGTAAAACACACAAAAAGGTAAATTAAGGTGTTCCTTTTTTTGTGTGTCCTATGTCCCTTTTTTGGGTGCCAAGCTAGCGATCTTATTCCACCCCCCCCCCCCCCCCCCACCCTATCCCAAAAAATATTTGATTTGACTACCTTTAGCAACAATTTTTTGGGGGCTACACGCTGTTTACCTCAATAGTAAACTCCAGTTCAGCGTCCATCGTTGTGACTCTAACAGGGAACTGCTTGGCGTTCCCCTTAGACGCCTTGGTCATTGTCATTTTCGGCATGGTGGCTGGCTGTCTGTTTCTCTCTCTGTCACTTACACTCTATTATGCAGACATTCACACATAGAATAGGGCACGGCTACATGCTCACGGCATCTCTGTCGAAGGCATGCTATATTTTCAGGTCTTGATAGATACATATTCTTTCAGAATGTTGAAACAGTTGATCCATTTACATGATGATAATTTCTGAAACAAGAAAAACAGAAAAAAAAATAATAAATAAATAAAGGGCAAGGCAAAAAGCAAGAATGTGAAACCAAAGCAAGAATCAGAACATCTGGACTACACTGCGAGTAGATCTGTGGGGAAGCAAACTGTTAGTATTTCCGTGTTAAGACCACAAATGTGTCACGAAGCAGTGGAATCAGGCGCTCGTCAATTTCAGGGCATGTAGAGTTATTGGTGTCATCTTAAAAGTTGTTCATTTATAAATCTCTCGATGAAAATATACCCATCTATCTTTAATATCAAGATATTAGCGATTGAAGGAAGTGGGGTCGCCCGATTTCAGAGATAAAATTAGCGAGAAAATGGCTGCCAAAGTTTGCAGACTTCCAGCTTTAGAGTTCTTGGACACTGCAAATTTTAAATTTGTTGTGCCTTTAATCAACGTTTTTCTATAAAATCCACCCATAAAAGTGCTGTTGAATGGACATACAAGGTGTTGAGCCAAAAAAACAAAAATTTTTAAAAAATGGCCAAACTGTCCGAAAAATGCTGATTTCTCGGAATCTCGGATATCATTATTTTGACGAGCCCTTGATTTCACCACGGTGCCTCACAAATGCTTTCTTCACGGCTGTATTTTTTTTTCTCCAGATGGGCATTACCTTTGGTTATTAGACTGTTAAATCTGACAGTTTTATTCCAAATTAAAATGACAGATCACAATTTTAATGATAGTTTTCTCTTCTGATTTTGCACGACAGGATTCCCAACACTGGTCTATGAAAAGGGAGCCTTCTGTTTCTAAACTTTTAACAGACAAAAGTTATTACAACGTCAAGTGATCGCCTGGTCTTAATTCTTATCCTGAGTCAGAAAAGATGTTTTCAATCTCAACCTTCTCATCCTAGGAAGGGGTGCGCAGAAGAACTTCAATAACTGAAATAAAATTAAAATTGTCTTAGAAGGCCATCCAGTGTCCAGGAGAGAAGTGGTCGTCTGAGAAAGGTAAATAAAATAATTCAGGGACTTTGTTTTATTTTGGATCACTGCTGTTTTCAGACTAACAGTTTCTGCAGCAAAATCTTCTGTGTATTAAAAAAATAAAAATAAAGAATGGCTCTCCACTCTCAACAACTGCTTTTACTTATCAAAAATACAGAACCAAAGGATCATGTGAAGAGTGAAATTTATTCAGCACATAATTTATAAGAGATTTTTCTGTGCCACAGAAAAATAAAAGGGAACGAAAATCTACCACTATACTATACTACATATTTTATCTCGTTATTAAATTACTAGTTATGACAACAGAATTGGAGTTGTTGATGACTTTACTTATTGGTACTAACCATTTGTACACCCTAATGCACAACTTTCAAGAATTCGGCCATATCCCCACCCTCCCCCCTTTTCACGCATGACTGCATTTATCATTCCAAAACACAAACACCAGATTATGCGATAATACAGAGGGAAAGCCCCCTCCCCCCAACCCTCCAACTTATAAAAATTCTTATCACTGACTGGACACTTTTAAGCAGGGCAAAAATTTGATCTAAATCCATTTTAAATAAAAAAACATAGATATACTTAGAGTATACTGGTTTGCAATGGTTGTAAAGATGAAATTTACACAGACAGTGTAAAATGGATAAAAAATCAACAGGAAAACTGTGTCACAATGTGGTGCAATTAGGCACGCCTCAATTTTTGGGCAAGTTTTTAGCATCTCAAAAGCTGTTCATTTGTTTTTCTTTTCATTTGAAAAATATCAATTTCTGTCTTCAATAGAAGTCAAGATATTTGCAACTGAAAGAAATAGGGTTGCCAGATGTCAAAAAGGTAAACTTGACAACAACAAAATGCCACCAAAGTTTGGAGATTCTCTTCCGCTTGAATGTCCGTGGAAACTAGTATCTACAATTTACATTTTTTTGGCGGTTCTGAACATTTTTCAGTAAAATGCTCACCGAAATGTGTTTTAAAATTATGGAAAATTTTTACTTTCACTCCAGCACACAGATGTACTGCTTCAGGGGTCAAACTGCAGTATTGTTAGTTGCAGATCACAATAAAGCCACTCTAAAACTAAAACTGTCGTAAATCAATTATTTTCAAGAAAATTTCAAACCTAACTGCAAATTGTCAATAAGGATTAAAACAGGGGGGCACGCCCCAGTGTAACCCCCAGATTGAAAAAAAACCTCAGGGGCCCCCCCTGAAACCGATAGTGAAACCCCCTGATTGGTCCAAAACGTGCAAATTACAACGTGGTAAGGCAGCTCAATCAAGAACAATCAACTCAAAACTATTATTTTGCGACATAAATGAAGTTGATATTTGTGTTCAGCACATCAATGTTTAGTGGAAATTGGGCAACTGGTAGCTAAGTGTGAGAAGGGAGGGAAAGTAAAAGTCCAATTTAATACTAAAATGATAAAAGGTGTGCTGATTTTTTTATTTTTTAAAAATTAAAGGGCAATCTCTTTGGTCCCAAGAGTACTGGAATTGAAATACTACTAATATGATATTAACTTTAATTATACTCAGTGTTCATGTTTTATCCAAAGACCACCTCTATTCTCACCCCGGGTGAGAATAGGGGTGAGAATAGCGCAGGTGAGCCTTTTGGCCATTCTCACCCGGTGTGCGTTCACCGTGAAGGATAATCAGTGTTGTTCACCGTGAACAAACGTTCCAGTGCTCTTGTGTTGAAAGCGTGCAATTTTGTCAGTGGGCAGTGAGAAAGAGAGAGAGAGAAAGTGAGAGAGAAAGAAAGAAAGAGAGAGAGAGAGAGAGAGAGAGAGAGAGAGAGAGAGAGAGCGAGAGAGAGAGGGGGGAGGAGAAAGAAAGAGAGAGACAGAGAGAGGAGAGAGGAGTAGCACGAGAACTTCCGAGCAAAACAAACTGGCGACCCGCGTAGTTCGGCACGATTCGAAAAGTTAAATAGCCGTAGCACCTTAGTAGACGACCAAATTAATTTACTTTTTTGTGTTTGAACATCATCTTTTATATAGATCTTTGATTTTGTCAATTTGATTGTCCACACCGATAGACAGTATTCAGAAAGAGAGAGAGAGAGAGAGAGAGAGAGAGAGAGAGAGAGAGAGAGAGAGAGAGAGAGAGAGAGAGAGAGAGAGAGAGAGAGAGAGAGAGATGAGAGTAGATCTTGCTAGAACTTCCGGGCAGAACAAAATGGTGACTAGCGTAGTTCGGCTCGATTTTAAAAGTGAAAAAGCCATGCCATGTAGCATCTTTGTAGACGACCAAATTAGCTTACTTTTGTGCTATGTCATTTTTTCTTTGTTTTGTCAATTTGATCATCCAATATATATCGACAATATTATACAGTTTTCTGAAATTAGGAAAAACAGGTCTTTTTTCACACCAGGTGAGAATAGCCAATGCTGGCAAGTCTCACCCGGGGTGAGAGGTCGATCGTATTTTTATTCTCACCTCGGGGGAGGACATAGTCTAGCCACTTCCTTTTATAAAAGAGAGCCACAGATGCACTATTGGTGATCTTATACTTTGGCACGTTAAATTCTTCTATTGATTTTATTCCCTTTTCCTTAACTAGCGACCACTTTAAAACATGATCTATCTAATCAAGATTATACTCACTGGCTTCCAAAATCACAATGGAAGACCGAAAACCACTGTTATACCATCTGTGACAAAATTACGGTAGTTTGCGCATTTTTAGGCCCCGTTGGATACGAATAAGGTCAGTTTTTTTTAGTTAAGGCTTAGTTTTAGGATTTTTTTTTGATAATGCATGCTTTTATAGACATTAGATTAGGGGGTTTCAGGGGGTCTCCCCCTGACGTGCGAGTACGTTTGTAGTAGGTCGGGGGGGGGTTCAGGGGGGGTCTCCCCCCTGAAATAAAGTGCCGTAACATCTAAACTAACAATTTGCGACGTTTTTCAATGCCAAAATCGTGTTCAGGGCCCTAAAAAACCTGTAAATTAATACCTTTTATGAGACGGGAGGGTTTCTATAAATTTACCCACCGCACTATTTTCAAACAAAGTGACTATTCGGACTCGAGTCCGAATATGAAAAAATGTTATTCGGACTGATTCTTGTCCAGCATGACATCACTTCCGACTTCTTGTGACTCGTGACTCCGGCTTCCTGTCCTGCCTCACTCGTGACTTGCCTCAGGCTGGGTAGAGAGCGGGATCACTTTGGGCAAAATGGCGTTTTGTGTAGGAGCCGAGTTTTTATCTTATGATATATTTGAGGCCGGCCTGAAAAGCTATTAGCGCTTCTAATAAATGTTTATTTGTCAAGAGGTCATCAGAAGCAATTAAAGATGGCTCGTTAGCGTGTGTCGGGGTCGGATGGGCGGCCTGCACACGTGTGGCTGTGTGCGTGTCGGGGAGCATTATCGGTCCGGGCGTTGAAAGTCGCATACGCATGATCAGTCTTTTTTCCCCCAGCAACTGATCATTATTACAATAATAAGCTAGTCTTGACGTAGATCTACGTAATGAATTGTGCGCTGGTCTATGGAATCAAAAGTTGCCGTATGCTCAGCTCTACACAGCAACAAAACTTTTTCTTGGTAAACAATCGAGATGACACAGGCTTGTGTATTTGAACGAATCGGTCTTTTCTTTTTTTACACAGCTCATAATATTATCATAAATATGCAGGTGCCAGGTGGTCTGCTAATCTTCAATTTTACCTTTTTCTGCAACAAAGAAAGAGGGAAACATGGGGGTTTGGGGGGGGGGGGGGGGG